TATGCCCATTCATACAAGTAGACCTTTCTGGAGGGGTGAAGGCATTTTCCACCCCAGCTGCCAAGTTTCGTACAACGGGCAAAGGCCTGGCTTCTCTTTCTGCATCCATGGGCACTGTTTAAGCACCTGTGCTACCCTACCTCTTTCCCAAGCCTGAATAGCTCAACTGGCACTCTCCCAAGAGTAGTTGCATGAGAAAGTCAGAAAAAGACAATTTCTCCACCACCAAAACTTGCCTGTCAACCACGCCAACTCTCTGCCTGCACCGTGCACCAGCATTCCCAACATTCGATGATGCAGGTGATGGCCTGGCTGAGAGAGCCAGTGGAAGGGATGTGTTACTCAGCGCTAGGGTAGTTACTGTTTTGAGGTTTTCTGCCAGGAACTGTACAGCACCTTACAAAACACAGGGGGTAGCTGCAGCCACTTAGGCTTAAAACACAGATATTCTGATGAATCACAACTCGTGGTGTCTCTGAACCATGTGTTAGTCTTGCAGTGCATGTAGGTGCTAAACACAGGACTAGACTAAACTGAATAGCATTCATAACAGAAAACCATTATCAAGTGGGGAGTGGGGGGTGGGAAATTGTCAAAACTGAAAGAACTGAAAGCATGCCTCCTGGTACTGGACTACACACCAAGATGCCTTGATGGAATTCCTCCAACACCTTGGAAAAATATTTCCCACTGCTTTGCTGTCAGTTTCAGCCTTTTGTCTGCCAAACATTCAAGAACTCTTCCCCTATACTCAGAAGCAGCAATCCATGTAGGTTTGAGTGCACTTACTAACATTTTGTGAGTCCCAAACTGGAGTGTCGCAACAGTTGCCGAATACAAGCTTGTTCACACAGTTTATATTCTTTATTATGTGAAAAAGCAGTTTGGTAACTTGAACTTGTCAGGAAGCAATTAACCAGCTTTATGCTCTGAACCCCAGTTCCCATAAGAAAATTAACAATGTTTATCTGGATGAAATAACTTGTAAATGAACTCATTTTCTTTCCCCAATTTCTTCTCCCTCCCCCCCCTTTTTTTAATTTTTTTTTTTATTTTGTGTATTGTAGGCCTTAGCAATGATATTAGTTCTAGTGTGGGAAATTATTATAATTGAGATCTGGTAAGTTATTTGCAGACTTCAAGTTTTTCTTTACACTGTGATGACATTTAGTACAGCCCCGGTGAGGAAAACAATGCTGCCATTCATGGCTCTAGACGTAGATTTCAATCGACTTAAGCGGGCACAATGAACTTGGTCATTCACTGGTTACCCATATTGTGTTCTCAAATTTTCTTTCAGCGAAAGTATAATGACTCAGTATTGTATGGTTGCATAGACAAGAGCTCAGAACAAGGGACACTAGTTTTGTCTGACGGTGTGAGAAAGTCGTGAAGGGATCTTTTCTTCCAGATGGTGTTAAATTCAGCTGCCTTTTTAACATTGGCCTTGCACAGCAATCTGCTGCTCCCTTCTCACAAAGAATAAGCCAGGGTCCCTGCTAGTTAACATGCATACTCACGCAACCTGCAACTTCACTCCAACTGTTTTACAGTGCACTAGTATGCTAAATAAACTCGGTCTGCTCTGTCCCGCTGCTGAAACTCACCTCCAAAGAGATGCTCCACTGATATTTACTTCTTCCCCACCCCGTTACATGAAATTGTATATGGCTTGATTTCCTACACGCACACTGATTTAGGGAAAGAGCTCCTAACAGATAGATTATCCTTAGGAAATTTTACTTACGGTGTGAGCCTCTGAAAACATAAACTCCGAGAGCGCGCTGCTACATGCTCCCTTTTCCCAAGTCGGAAGTTAAATGTACAGGCAAGAAGGGGGGGGGGGGGGGGGGGGGCAGGAGAAATGCGCTTTGCTTCTACAGCAGTGAAGGAGTAACAATAATAATAGTAATAATAGCCATACGTGTTTTATTGATTGATAGTCCCATAACATTAAATAAGGTACGGAACAATATGACAGTATAACGCTGGTGTTTTTCTCGGGTCTTTTTCTTTACAGATTTACATCGAAGAGCAAGACGCTAGCAACAGCTGAAGTGAATAGACCCCATTAAATGCTTAAGTAAACAATGGGTTTCCGCAGAAAACAGCTTATTGCCTTTAATTGAAGCTCTTTGAGGAAGAAAACCATGCACTTTGTCATGCAAATGCTAATTGTGGCAAGCAGTGGCTCTAGGTAAATAGCACCCCTGGACTGGCAATCAATGGGGAACGTGGGGGCACTCTGCGGTGCCGCAAACACGCTCTCCGTGTAAATAAACAAGGCAGTAAAACTTTGGCACGTGTAACCAAAAAGAGGGGGAGTGGAGCGAGTTATTTGCACTGCGGTGCGGAGATTCAGCTACGGGGACGAGGAAACTTCTGAGGCCAGATTATTTGTCTTAAACAGACAACGCGCCTACTGCAGCCAAGACCCCGTTGCCTTCCTCCCTCAGCGTGTGGCGTGAAGGCGAGTATTCCCACTGCAAGCCCCAAAACGAGGGGGTTTGTGTAAGCAAGATGAAAATAAATAAGTAAAAATTAAAAGCAGGATGTTGCGGGTAACGAGCCCCTGTTTTATGGGGACCGCTGAGTCCCATTCCTTCATCCCTCATCTCATTTTTAACCCGCCCGACAGACGAGCGGTTTCCCGCACGGCAGGCAGGTTCAGTTCAGAGGAAAAACCTTGCCTTGCACAATTAATTAATTAATTAACTAACTAACCCTCCTCGATTGCGCTGCGAGAGGCGCCTAAACCGAGACGAACACTCAGAGCCGGGGCGGCGGGTTCCGGTCCCGGTCCCGGTCCCCCGCAGGCGCTTGTCGGTCACGGGCCGCCAGGGCACGGCGTTGCCCCTCGCCTCGACCGTGGGAAAGGGAGCGCTCAGCCTTTCACATCTACTGCGCGGCGTTTAACGGAATCAATTAGGCAAAGACAGACCCTCCGCTTCCCCGCACAGCCACCACCCTCCCTCCCCCCCCGCCCCAGCCCCAAACCCGTGTTTTTGTCAGGTCTATATACGTCCTAATTATTTCAGTTTGGGATGCCAGAGCTGTTTCCTGGATCGACCTGATCATCCTTTAACAAAAAGAGAGAAGGCGCACGCGTGGGTTTTAGAGTAAATGTCACTTTCATTTCCAATGCTAGGCGCAGAGTGAGACACAGAATATTTTTTAACACTTTGACAAGGGGGTAGGCGATCTCTTCCCCATCATGTCTTTCTGCTTCAGTAGCTTCCTCAAGGAAACCCTCTCGGAACAGAGAAGCATCTGTGCTCGCTTTTTCAATAGGAGAATAAAAACCGGCCATCACTTTTTCTCGTCTTTGTGCAGCTCCACCGAGTTCCCAGTAGACATAAATTATTAAGCTTGTCTACACTTCAGTGTAAACTTTTCCTGAAAGCTTGCTTTCATATGAGCTGACATAAACCCCGGTGCTTTGTCTGAGATGCACACAGGCGGGTTTGGGGTTGGGTTCAATTTGTTGGGTCTGTTGGTTTGTTTAGGGTTTTTTTTTTGCTTTTGGGTTTTCTTTGGGGGGAAAGGGGGGCTAGGTTTTGCTGTTGTTGTTGTTGCTGTTGTGTTTTGGGGTTTTTTTGTTTGTTTTGTTTTTCTCAGTTCAGTCAACGCTGTATCGTCACCACCACCATCATCACCACTAACAGCTACCACCTTTAAGGCCATTTCATTGCAATGAATCACTTTGCAAAATGAAGATCAGCTTCTCCAAATAGCTGTCTAAGAGTGAATATGTATATATATACAAATATGTTCTCTTAGCTCAACGTTAAGTGCTCATGGTTTCTCATTTAGAGTTTATTCAACAGGAAGAGTTGCACACGCGTTGTTTACCACCAGCGCCATACCCTCTGTGTAGCTATCCGTTCTGCTGGCATTGCCATCTGATAACTTCATCTTTTGAAATAAGTGTGCCATTTAATTTCCTCCACTCCCACCTTCAGCTGTAAAAACGTTAGATTCAATCAGCTTTCCTGACCCTTCTTGGGGTTTTTTACTGTCTCTCGCAGTAATCTTTCATTTCCACAGGCTGTACGATGATCTTGAAGGAGTTTTTACTTTCGGTTATCTAGCTTTATGAAGACCAAAACACTCATACAGCTAGATAACCAAAGATAACAACTCGCTTCCCTTAAAGCTTTTTTAAATGTGTATATATATATATATATAATGTTCTCTTATTATAGTTTTCCTTGATAGAATCCAGATTCTTTGACAAACAGGCGTGCTCTGTCCTCCAAGAGTACCAGTGCTGCTTTATAACATTGATCCTTGCATGCAGTCGTGACCTGGTTCATGTGCCGCTGTATACGTGCAGCTAATAACATCCAAAAGAGATCCGTTGCCTTCAAAGTTTATTCCGAACTTTTCTTTATTATGTTTTCTTTTCAGCCTCCGGCAGCAGTACCCAACAGTCCGTATTTAATGGTAGAAAATAAACCCTAGATATTAAGGTGCGTCGAGCGGCGTTTGAAGAGTAAGAAGCAGCATCCATCCCTTCGCAGGCCTCAATTTGCATTGTAAATCGCTCTGGTCGCACGAAAAGAGTTTTTAGGCTCTGTGAAGATGTAAAGCCAGCGGCAATTCCCAGCACAGTTTAAGAAGGAAGAAGAAGAAAAAGGAAAAAAAAAAAAAAAAGAAGGAAAATAAAATCCCATTTCGCTAGGACTTTACAAGATGATTCGAGGATGTGACTCCTATCCCTTCAGGTTATGCACGGCTCGGAGCTTTTTAGCAAATGGTGGCGGCTTGATTGCCAATGCCTTGCTTGCGTGCTTGTTTGGGGGGAAGTTCCTCGCTTTCCCGGGTTTCCTATCGCACTGGGGGGGGGGGGGGGCGGAGGGGTCGGAGGGAGAAGGACGCGGTCCCGCCGGCCTGCTGCTGCCCCCGGCCTGAAAGAAGGAGAAAAAGGCCGTCACTGGGGGAGGGGGGGGCGGGGGGGGGGAGGGGAGAGACGGGGCCGTGGGGGTGGTGTATGCTTGTCACCGCCAAAATGTGGACCAGCCCGGCGAGGTCAGAGGTCCCGGACCGCAGGAGACCGAGGTAATGATGATGTCATGAGAAATCTCAAGTGCACGCGGCTTAATTGATGCGCACGAGCCCCATTTCCCCTCCGATCATCCGCAGCTCCCGGCTTTTACCTCCCTCCTCGCCAGCGCAGGCCGCTCTGACCTCCGCGGGGACGGGAAGAAAACAACAAACCCATCCTCGCTACGGCGGGATAAAAGCCCCTTTCCCCGAGCCAGGGGAAAGCTCCGCTCCGGTGCAGCGCATTTCCCGGCCCGCCGCAGAGGAATGCTCCGGCCGCAGGCAAGGCCGGGAGCAGCACTGCGCTACGCTGCCGGTTCGCTCTCGCCGACGCTGTGTGCGGTGTGTATGGGGGGGGGGTGTGTGTCATAGCTCCGCACCCCTGCCGTGTTTCTCGCCTACAGGGATGCATCCGCAGGTATTTACAGCGGGACGGACCCTCTCTGCTGGGGGAGCTGCTAGCAGCAATCTCTCCTACAGCATCCATACTCTTCCTTCCTTCTCTCAATCCCTCCCTCCCTTTATCCCTCCCATCCACTCTGTGTGTGTGTGTCTGTGTTAGGATGCAACACAGGTGAACGTTGCAGCAATGTTTATCTAAGGCTATGCATCATCTGGCGAAATGCCTTAATGAAAAACGCTGATATATTTTTGATTAACCTCGTGCTGAGAGCAGAGAAATGCATGCTGGCGTTAACGCAAGGAACCGACGGAGGCAAGTCTTTCCAAACTGTTATCACGCCTTACGAACAGTTTTAGGATTTGAGCCTCTCAGCTCCCCTTCCCCCACCCCCCAAAAAAAGAACATTATGCTTTGTATGATTTAACAGTAAAATCTGCCTGGAAATTTTCTAACTCTGCAGTGCAAAACATTAAACGTCTCCCGAGTACACGCGGTACAATGAATCTGCTCACTGGGATCTAGCATATTTACTGATGAAATTAATAAATGCACTTCCACAGCTCAACCGAGCTGCAGCCAGTGCACACTGAGAAAATCCAGCACACACAGAACATGGGCTGCTCTGCACTCCTAAAGGCAAAGACGACTTAAAATCCACGCACCTACCCGCTCTTTTGAGATGCAAAATAAACCACAACATGCCATGTCAATATTTTCTGTAAATTACCATGTGCTTCTGTATGTTGCTGAGTATGTAGGGGGAAGATTTTTAAATGCATGGAGTTAAACTGAAGTTGTTCCTGCTCTGTGTAGCCTGCTTGCATGATAAAGCGTATGTGTGCTTGTGTGTACATAGGGGAGGCATATGTACATGTGTCAGTCTGAGTACATGTCTGTATGTGTGTTGGTGTTGAAATATATATGTAGGTGTATGTGGTTACACTGTAAAATGGCAACTCTATCCACCAGTCCATTTTTATCTATCACAAAGCCTGAAGATGGGTAAGCAATCTCATTTGTCGGACATGGCCCCAAATTAATACTGCCACCAAGAAGTAATGCATAGACATTGCCAATCTGCCAGACCTCAGCAGCAATATTATGAGCAAGGCCACTTATTTATGCTTTCAGACCCTCAGTCCTTTGAAACTGAGCATTTCTTCTTGGAATACAGGGTTAGAATGCAGTTTACCACCAGTGCTTTATATCTGAGAGATGTATGTGTAAGAGCTAATTGTTCCCATATTCTTTGTGGAAAATAGAGAGCCTGGCACAAAATCGTAAGAATTCATGTAATGCTTCATTAGTAGTTACTGAACCTCTCAGGCTGCTCAGGCACAACAGGGACAAACAAATCAGGTATCTGATACATCCAGAGGCACATGATCAGTTTGATCTTACGTAAAATTCTAATGAGGTTCTCTGAATTGGCAGATAGGCAGAAAGATGTTTTCTTCCTTGCAATAGCTAGGGGCAGCAGTGTTGGTGATCATGCATGTGTTACGCATGACAGGCTTTTGGGCTTATGCATTAAATTCTTACAGTCAGAGGCATGAAAATTCAGGTGCTCCTCATGTATATGTCTGCATATACCCATGCTTATATAGCTCTGTGTGTACATAATGCATATTAACACAGACATGAATGTACACGTCAATGCAAGCACATAAACCAAGTCACCAGACTTACAGTTAAAAGCAAGGCCTAGTACTGCAAATTGGTACATTTCAATAGATCAAGATACATATCCTTAAAACACCAAGCCCTTTTCTCTTGACCACCTCACCAAAACACTGACTTGGAAAGGAGCTGCCACACAGCCTTTATAGATTAATCACTGGAGGCTCAGTAAAGAGCCAACATGATGATCATGACCTGGGTGTTCATTAGCCATATTACCAGTTACATTTTCTAACTCTCAGACACATAGCAAGGCCTCAAAACCAACAGGGGCCTGGTAAGACTCACTCAAAAGTGTTTCCTTATTCTGAACATCACAGAAATGCACACAGCAGTTGCAAAATGTGTTTCCAAGGTTGCATGTGCGAAGTTTGAGCAATCTGCAATTCTGAAATTACTGCCAAAAAATATCACCTGAATTGTCAAAAGTGGCCATTTACACTGCCTGTTTTCTCCTAGTTTACATAAATTTACATACACCTTATTCATTCCAAATACTTCAGGTAGAATTGATCTGCATACTCAAGATACACAATCTGAACACAGATTTCTCCCCCTACCTATCTAATAAATTCCCACTAATGGCCTGTAGATTAGCATGTGATTGCCATGCTTGTTTTTTAATCTTTTTATAGATCTCCAGATGGCTGTGACATACAGAAAAACACATCCTGTGTGGATTTCTTAGGAATAAACAGTCCCTATTGACTTCAAAGATGAATGCTTATGTATGGTTCTCAGATTATTGCGATCAGAGCCCTCTTCTAATGCGAGCATCACCACCTTCCATGGGGAAGACACAGTCCCCCTTTGGCTGCTGTGAGGTACATAGGAAGGGCACAGCATTACATAAACTTCCTTTTTGCACCAATTTATGGCAGGATTCATGCAGATGCAAATCACGGCACGCCAATACAGCCCAGGCCAGCTTTCTCTGCAGAGCATCCCTTTCCTTCTCCCAGCCAGGTTAAATCACTGGCCTGGCTTGCCTTCTAACAAGAGTGCCTTGCAGCTTCTTTTCTGACCAGTTTCATTTCACTGCAGATTATGCTTCTGTTATGTTGAACATATGGTATGCATATATACAAATCCAAACTATTACATGAGAAGACAGACTGACAAGAATTCAAAGTCGGGGGCGGAAGGAAGGGGAAGAGGTGGAGAGGAGAGAGAAGTATTAAACCCACCGTCAGTAAATACACATGGAAACATTACATGCTGCCAAAGAACATTACGTGTAGGTAATGGACATAGTAGCGTCAGGCTTCTATTAAACAACAAAAAGAAGTTACCGTTTGTTGTCGTGGTTGTCACTCCCTGTAGTTCTGTCTGCGTTATCTAAACCTGAAAATAAACAGAGGAAAAAAAAAAAAAAAGAAAAAAGAAAAAGAAAGAAAAATAGCAACGGATCGTAATTTAAACACTTTCAGTGTTTGGTTCTTGTTCGTGAAAATATATGTGCGCAGATAAACCTATGCGTGTTCGGAAGGTGCCGAGTATATTAACTTTCGGGGTTATTAAATGCATCACTACAGCACTTGACTGTAGATTCAACGGGAACATAACTGGCTACATTTCCTGCAGATGATTTAACGTGACACAAACCAGATATGAGTAATGTACTCCGGTATCTGCAGGGTTAAATCAATATTTACAGGAAATAATGTGAATAATATCATTTAAAAATAAATAATTATTTCCGGAGAACCAGACTTATAAAAAACAGGTTAAGAATACTATTATTGGTTGGGGTTGCGGAGCAGAAGTGAGGAAAGCTAGGGAGGCAGATGCAGGATTTGCATACTATAAGCTGCCAGCTACTTAATAAAGGATGGAGGCTCCACCTAGCCTTCAGTTCAAAACATGCAAACCACATTAAGCCAGCGCTTTTCTGCTGGATTTCCCAGCCTTTTCCAGACCTGGATCACCGGGAAGTCATCCTCTCTATTCACAGCCCTGTCAGCTTTCCGAGAGCTGAGAGGGTAAATGCACACAGCGTAAGGTAATCGCTTTTATTGCATCGTATTGATTACACCCCGCACATCTTTAAAAACGCATACTATTACTGTTGTCGGGAAGCACCGAGCTCGTCTGTATTACTGCGAGGCGGTTTCACCCGTTTCCCAGCTCCTCTGCGGGGTGGACCGGAGTTGCAGAAGGTGGCTACTTTTTTGGGTGGAGGGAAGAATGGATGGAGGGAGGGGTGGAAGGAAGGATGCAGCGGGACCCCTGGAGGTGTCCATCGCTCCAGCGACACCTGGGGCCGGGGTCGGGAGCCGTGCTGGGGTTTGGATAACCCGGGAAGTGATGGCTGCTTGCTCCAATTGGACCCCTACGCGGGAGGCAGAGGATGGACAGGCTGCAGCGAGCGATCTGCATCCCGGCCCGCTTCAAGACATCGCTTCATCTTCTTTCTCTCTCTTTCTTTTTTCTTTCTTCCTTTTTTTTTTTTTTTTCTTCCTATTTTTCCTCTTTTCCTTTTTTATTTTTTCTTTTTTTCCTTTTTGCTTTTTCTTTCCCCCCTTTTATTTTTAAGCTCGAATATGGAGGCCACAGGACTTAGTTCCCACACTCTTGCCCCTCTGTCTGCAATACCTTTCTGAGTGCACCCAGCCACTGCCAAAATATAAGGGCTCCCTGAAAAGCCACATCTCTCCTTTCACCGGGCAACTGTAACTGCTCCTGCACACTAACTACATCCCACACGACCAACAGGTTTAGCATCAGGGGCACAAAAATGTCAAGTCCTAAACCCTGATTCGTTAATCAGATTCCCCTCGCCAGTGGACAGTGGGAATAGTCGGGGCGACTGGGGAAACCCCTGCTTGCCCGTGCTCAGCATCCCTAGTTATTTCAGGGAATTCAGGATCGGTCTGTCGCACATCCCACACACAAACATCACGGTACTTACATTTGTCCGTCTTTATCAGAGGAAAACTTGACCCCAGATCAACCGAGCTGAGAGTGAGCTAAGTCTCTGGTGGCAAACAAAGATCCTCACGGCCAAGGCCCCTCGGAATAGAGAAAACTCTTCCACATCTCCAGAAATTCACGTCTTTCCCTTTGACATCCTTATTTAAAAGTGCTGCTTAGCTCCACGGTGTCGTTCTTGCACGGGAGAGTTGGAAATCTTCCATCCAGAAAAAAAAAAAAAAAAAAAACAAAACGAACAGAGAAAGAAAAGCAGAAGTTGGCTTCGGTTTGGCTCTCTTTTTATTTTTCATTTTTTCCTTCATTTTTTCCCTGTTTCCCGCCCTCTTTTTTCCATATGGCTTCCTGCGCCCTCGAGTAGAAAGTGGAGTGTTGTATGGTAGGCTCTGCAAGTTTTTTGGGGGGTTTGGCCAAGGTCTAGTCCAGCCCTCTCTGCTGAGGAGGACGTGCTCTGAAATTCAACCAATTTGCCCAACGCTTTTGTTGCTGATGGACTGAAGCCCTATTGTTCATCCATTGCCACGGTCTTTTTCAGCTCCTACTATACGTTGTGCGTTGCCAGAGATAATGAATTTGCACCAAAACCTCTCAGAGTCCCAATTTGACAGACGGAACAAATTAAAAATGGCTAGTCTAAAGAAGAGCAATAGCTACCTTTTCTTAGAGAGATGAAGGAAATCACTCATTTCTTTGGACACTTAAAATAATTTTTTTTTTTTTTTCAGCAGAAGGTCGGAATTTAGAAGCTGTTTTTTCTCCAGCTAACTTCTGAAGTACATTTTCTTCCGAGTCTTGTTTTGGAGAGGCACTACCATTTTGTGCAACTTTGGTCCGGGCAACAGCAAGGGAAAAAAATAGAAAGAAAAACAAAACAAAACAACAACAGCAACAACCAAAACAGAAAAAACTGATGGCGCTGACAAAAAGGATTCTTTTCCCATCCCTGCCGTCATGCAAACTTGAAGCGTGACCTCTCGTCGCTGGAAGGAGGGTGCCAGTTCCTGCCGTCCACCGCTTCGGGTTTGGAAACAGCGTGAAAACGCCCCTCAAAGCCCCTGTGGATTTTAGAGCAAGGGGGAGGGAATGTGTGTGTGTGTGTGTGTGTGTGAGGATGAAGGGAACAAGGTAGGGGGGTGCTGGGAGAATCTGAGTGTGAGAGGGAGCGGGAGGTGTGCGAGGAAGGAGGGATGGGGGAAAGGGGAGTTGGAGAAGGGACGGAGAGGGGAAGAGATGAACAGGTGGAGGAAAGATGGAGGGAGGGAGAGATGAAGAGATGCAGAAATGATGGAGGGTTAGAGGAAGGTTGTGCACGTCAACGGGGTGCCGTGCTGTTCGCCTCTCTGTCCCCCCAGATCTGGAGTGGCTTTAATGCGGTGCCCAGCCCCAGCATGGGCAGGTGGCAAGGGAGATGGAAGGGCTGAGGAGAGGGTTGTGCGGCGGGAGGGGCGAGCATTAAATATATATATATATATACACACACACACACACATATACACACATGCTACAATGGGTCATATATCCATGTAGATATATATGTATAGATGTGTATGTGTGTATATATACATATCTGTATATACGTCTGTATGTGGAGCCAACTGTGTGTCCCTCCCGCAGCGCGGCTGCAGGCAGCGGGCGCGAGTTTCCTCGGGGACAGCTCAGACATCCCTCCGCGTTCCCCACATCCTTCCCCGCATTCCCCAGGCATCAGCCCGCGGAACTCTGCAGACAAAGAGAAGCTCTGCCAAGAGCAGGACGCAAGCCCGGGGTGAATGCAGGCAATTCAGGGAGAGCATCGGATGCACTAGAAATAAATAATACTAAAAAAATGATGGAGAGGGGATTTATGGAAACCTACACCCTTCCCGCTGCCAGAAGGCCAGCCGCTTTTCACTACCTGGGTATTTAGGGTAGGATGAGATGCCTGCGTGGAGGAGTGTGCAGCCGCTCTCTGGCAGCTGGTTTGTGCCCAGATCCAGAGGAATGCTCTGGAATATCTCACGGCAGGCTAAGAAATATGTAAAATATCCCAGGAGGAAAGGAGAGAGGCTAATGGGGAAAGGCGGGATGAAGTTCTTTCCCCTGCCGCTAAAAGTTTTCCCAGCATCCGTGGCACACAGCCACAGGGAGAAGTGGGAAGAGAGGAAGAGTAGCAGGAATCGCCCTCGCATAGCTTCTGCTGCCGCCGGACACCCGTTCCCAGCTCATACCGCCGCTGCTCCCCATCGAGCTGGTCACTGCACTCCCTCTGTGACTTGCTGGTGAGTCCCTTCCCTCAGCCCGGCGGAGCCCCCAGCCCCTATACCCGGCGGAACACCGGTGCCCGCCCGGGAGATGCTTCGATTCAAGTACCTCAACACGCCTGTGCCGTGCAGCACTCTGGGGAGGTAAGAAGGTTTTCGTCTGGGGTTGGGTTTTTTTTTGTGTTTTTTATTTGCTTGTTTCTTGGGGTTATTTTTGGTATTTGTTTTATATTATTTATTTTATTTTACTATATTTAAGTTTAGTTTAGCTTATTTATTTTATTATTTTTATTTTTATATTTTATTGTTTGTGCCTTTTTTCTTTCTTTTCTCCCCATTTCTTTCTTTCTTTTTTTTTTTTTTTAATGACCATAGTTTTTCCTTTCCGCTTGCCTCTTGTTGACGAGAAGCCGCAAATAACGTATCATTACAAATAAATAAATAAATAAATACACTTTAAAAAAAAAGAAGAAGGAGGAGGCAGGCCGAGGTCGGCGGCGCTGTGGGGAGGTGGGCTTTGTTTTGGCGCCACGGGGAGGGGACGACACACGAGACGGGGATGGGCTGGGTGCCGCTGCCTGTGTCAGTGCTCATTCCACCGGGCGAGAGTCGCTGAGCAGCGCGGGCACAGCGCGGAGCAGAGCGGAGCAGCTCCCCCTTACCTTCCCCCTCCCATCCCTGCTTCACGTTCAAGGTTTAGCGGCAAGGTCACGTCCATTGACGTCATCTCGAGGCATCGCTGTGCGTCCGGATACATTCACATACATCGAGGGCATCGGGACATTAAAACAACAAAAGAAAGAACACGGAACATGTAAATCCCGCCGCCCGGAGAAGAGACCGCGGATCCCCGGAGCTACCTCCACTAGAAGACCCTAATTAACGGAACAAGTACTCGAGCCCCCTCTCTCCTTCCAAACATCATCATCATAATCTACACAAATACCCTCGAAATGGGCAATCAGGGACATGAGAACAGCCTGGCTGGGAGCTGGGAGACTCCGGTCCATGATCCAGGCCACGCGCCGCGACATCCTCCTCCTCCGCGTCCCGCTGGCTACAGCGTGTGCTACTACGCATATATATATGCGTATACTGATGCATATGTAAAGCAATATTTGCACTGTTTTTAATTTACTGGAAGTTAAAAGCGATTGTTTTTCCTTTGATCTCTCTTTTATGTCTACTATTATTGTTGTTGTTATTTATTTTACTTTATTTTATTTTATTATTTTATTTATTTTCCCTTCTCTTTTTTCTATTTCGGGTTTTTTTTTTTTTTGTTGTTGTTTTTTTTTTTTTTCTTGGCGAGGCTTGGCTGTGTATGCATCTTTACCTTCAGCTTCCTCCACGCTTCTGTTTCTATAACATTACAAAACACGTACAGTGCTAATATTACCAACCCAGATGCTCCACTGGGCCTTGAAAGGAGAGGAGGATCTCCTTGCCCTGCTCATCTGTCACACTGTCAGCTCGGAACTGCAAGTTTAGTCGCCAACTTAACTTTGTATTAGGCAAAACAAAACCCAGCCACCACCGTTTTGAGGTACAAAGGTGATACAGACATGCTTAGATAGATAATGCGTGTAATGGGGGCTGTGTCACAGGATTCATAATATCTAACCCTTATTACGGCCTGTGAGCACATTTATATCTCCCTTGATTTCAGGGACATTTTATTTCAAAATCTTCTCTTAAAACGTGTACTTCCAGGCTGGGAAAGCTGTCTCCGAGGAACACAATTGGTATATTCTGCCTTAAATACCGCGTTATTAAACTTGTCGCCTCCCATTTTAGCAGGTGCAGCTTTAAACCCACCACCTGGTTCTTTACAAGGAAGAAAGGCATTTTTACAGGTCGTTTAAAAATACTGTCTACAGCATTTCTTTTCTTCCTCCTTAAAAATCCACAGGCGTTGAACTACATTACAAACACCAATAGCACGTCTCAGTTTGCATTAATAGGGAAATTCTTACGAGGAAGATGTGTGGTTTGAATCTCTTTCTTACGTTGTACAGGGTGTTATATTTTTAAGCCAGCAACGTTATTCCATGAAAATAAATGTTTTACATGTATTATACATAAAATATTATATTAGTATATAGTATAAATGATAAATTATACATGTTATATACTGCATATCTAGTGTGTGTGTATATATATATATAAAGGTCTAAGTGCATGCACAGATAATTATTTTCATTAGGAATCACTTACCTGCAATCACTTACCTGCGTGAATGTACAGGGCAAGTTAGCCCTCCCCAAAGACTGCCATGCATGTTTCTATTTATTCATAGATTCTTAATATTTTATATCATTATTTTCATATATTTATTTTTAAATAAAGAGCATGCTCGATCTGTATTACTCCGTGCCTATTTCACCACATGTATACACTTTCAATTCTTTCAACGGGGCGTGGCTGCCCCATTCCTGGCAATGTTCAAGGCCAGGCTGGACAAGGCTTGGAGCAACCTGATCTAGTGGAAGCTGTCCCTGCCCATGGCAGGGGGTTGGAACTGAGAGAGATTTAAAGTCTTTTCAACCCAAACCAGTTCATGATTCGTACAGTATTTTCAGCGCTACTTCTCGCCCTAGTTTTAACAACCTCCGCACTGATAGGTCACCCAATCAGAAGTAGTCAGACAGCTATACATAAAACATTAAATAAATAACCAAACAAACATACACCAGACACAAACCCAGCACTCCAGGAAGGAAGCTAACACCACCACCCGTCTGATTAACTCTTACCCTACCTCATAACACAATAACTCATTAGGAAAGTACCTTTTTATTTTTATTTTTTTTCCAATTAGCGGGTGCGGGGGCCTCCCGCCATCCCGACCCATCATCATCATCCCCTCCCTGCGCTGTTAATTAGCTCATGTGTATCTCTCAAATGTCAGTCCCTTCCTCCTGCCTTTAGCATATACATAGGAGAGGGCAGCGCAGGGGTGTACTCCTCCGTGATTCCATCGTGCACCCTGCATCCTCATTCTCCTCCCGCTTTCCCCACTCCGACTGCCACCTCTGCGCTCACTTAACCCACGCCTCGCCGCGGCCCCGACGGGACCAAGATGCATAACCACCATAAGCACCACTCTCACGGGATGGGATTGTCGGGGCTCCGCGTCTCAACATCATCCCCCGCTCTCATTCTCCTCCTCCTCCCTTTCACCCCTACCCGCATTAGCGAACAGCAGCCCCGCGAATCGTGGCGCCGCCGTTTGAATGAGCCCCGTGCAGGGGGGAGGTAAGGAGGGGAGTAAGGTGGGAGGAGAGCGCCTCTCCTTCATCCTGTCTCTGCCTCCCCCCTCCCCCCCCCGACACTTACTGCCTGGACTCTTGGAATAGGAACAATGAACACACCCGGCAGCACACCGGTTACTATCAGCCTTTTCACAGCTAAAAGGAAGGGAGCGTGTGTCCTGCGGTCAGCCGCGCGAGTGCCACCGAAGTTGGAGGTTGCGCGGATTTCAACCAGGGATAGGTAAATAAAGAAAGTAATGCATAAAAACACTAAATAATACACAGTTTTGGTGTGGCCGCTGCAGAGCCACGGAGATGAGACGAGATGCTGGGGCTTCGTCGTCTTATTTATGTATTTATCTCTTTATTTATGTATTTATCACTTTATGTATGTATTTATTTTGTCCTTCATGCTTTTAATACCCCGATTCCTCTAAAATTAGTATTCAGCATTTTGCACTTAGATTTTCTCCTTCGTCTCTTCGGCCATATCTGTCTTCTTATTAAAAAGTATAAATAATCGTGACTCCAGGAACGGAGGAAGACAACTATTTTGGCACATCCTCTGCACACAGACATACT